CATTTCTTAGGAACAATGAACAACATTAGCAGTCTCAAAACCCTGAAGGGCGTGTCGTAGAATGGGCGTCAAGGCAACCTGAGTCAAAGTGGGTGAAGGTTGAGTCTGACCACTTTCTACCTCCCACTTGGCGGACAGCTCCTCCCAGTACGTTCCCTTGTCCTCACACTGACTATGACAGATCTCTCCTCCCTTCCCACATTTCAGGAAGTAAAGTAGGATAGTGAGAAAAGTATGATATTTATTCACTTTGTTTTGTTTGCTGCTTATAGGCCACGGAATCTTGGGCAAGTAAAGTAGCTGTTTGGAGCCTCAGTTTCCTTCTCTGTAAGTAGAGGATACTGCTGTGAAGATTCAGAGAAAATGCACAGGTGTGTAACACAGGGCCTGAGTCTTAATAGGAATTCACCCAATAGTCCCATCGCCCACCTGGGGTCGGGGTCTGTCCTCACCCAGGAATACCTCAGGGTCTTGATTCACCCTTCTGCAATTCTCATCAAAATTTGTCCTGGTTTCTTTATGTCAGGACTTCACTACAAGGCTAACTTGATAACCTCTGTCAAACTAATTCCAGGGGAAGCTTTGATGGCTAAAATCATTTTAAGGATTTAATCTTTTACTCACAGTAAAAGAGGGTTTCTGAAAATGCAGGGCTCAAATGTGAAAGAACACCCTGTTATATTGGGCAAGCCAGGGTAGGGGATACTTTTTGGGTGACATTTATTTAGAGACCCTCGAATAAAGAACTTTTTTCCTTTGTTAGAGATGAGGTATCCACCCAAAATAATTTCTCCCTGGATTTTTTTCTTACCTAATACTCATGGAAAACTCAGGAATCACAGATTACCTAAAGCACTGATTTTTCAAACTTTGATGTGTTTAAGTTTGAAATACATATAGAAGCTCAGGCCCAAACCCCTGAGATTTTGATTCCATAGGATCCTCATTTTGGTGAGTAGTAGACTAGCCCTGTAGACTTGATCCACTCCACAAACCGAATTGACAAAACAAGCCGGCTCACTCCAGGCAAATCCTGAGTTAATGTGAAGAGGAAACAGGTGCTGACTAGCAAGAGGAAAGGCAGTCAGTTTCAAGTATCTACTGACAGTATTCAACCCGCTTACTGCCATTGCTTTTCCAGTGCCAGAGAGTAGAAGGTATCCAATAAGTTGAATATTAAATGTGCATGATATAAAAGAGCAAAACAAAACATGACCACAACAAAGCAGATTGGGTGGTATGAGATGTACTCTAGGGAAAGGTTATGTCAATTTTAACAGAGAAAATGAATATATATATGTATATATCATTTGCTTTCAAATTTACTACAAACTTCTGACTTATTTTAGACCCTGGATATCTCTGATGGTAACCCATTTCGAACATGTGGGAGCTCCATTTAGCAGGAAATAGGCCATTCCTACACAGTGTGGTTCTATAGAAGGGAAGGTTTCTTCAGTGATGTGTGCCTGTGGAGAGGGTGTTAGCATTGACCCAACACCTTCGTTTCACTATGAGGGAGTGGAGCTCAAAAAAGAAATGCCAATGTGAGTTAGAGGCATGAATGTCCCCTTCTGGCTGGTCTCAGATTCTGTCACCTCTCCCTGCCTCCACAAACAGTTAGGAGCTACCCCAGGATGTTTCTGAGCCACAAACTTCCACGGCTGTTTTGACTGACTTGCTAGAATGCATGCTGTGGCCAGGATAAAGCCTCGTCTTCAGGAGGCCATGGATTGCACAGAGGCCCTTAGCAGCTCTGTGGGCTGAAGCTGGCTTTCTCAAGGAAAATCCTCTTCTCATACACGTAGCCACGTTTGTACATGACTTCAAATATGAACAATGAAAAATATACTCTGTCAGCAATCTGAACTTCGGCTTGCATGATGTCAAACACCCTGAACCATATTTTCACTGATGGTCAACAGAATAAAAAAGAAATATTGCAAGGTTTGCATGGATGACTTCAGCATTTTCCTAGGCTCAGCTAAACAGGGCATTAAATCTAGTTCAGGTAATTTATGAATAACCTAGAACTCTTAATGGAAATCTGATCTAATGCATTGAAACTGGGTATTTAAAAAAAAAGAATAACAGGATGGCTCCTGGTTAATCAACACCAACCATTCACATCTTTTCAAGTCAGATAAGCTAAAATGAGCCTAGAGGAGACGAGAAATGAATTAGGAGAATGAATAAGTTATATAGGTTCCCTCAGAAAGTCCACCCCTGCAGTGGTGTGCCTTGTGGCTGGCACATTTGGAGGTAAAGTGCTTAAAAGAATGAATGGACCCTGGGCCAGCCGAGCAGTGTGTTGGTTGAGAGCTGGCTTGGGACACCAGCTGAGCAGCTGGGCCCCAGTTCGAATCCCACATGAGGGCCAGTGACGCTGCGCCCTCTACAGCTAACATGGTGAACAACAGCTCAACCTGGAGCTGGGCTGCCGTGAGTCACCAGTGATGGCATAGGCTGCAGTGAGGCTGCAGTGGGCTGCTGTAAAGCTACC